CACTGTAAGAACAGCTGTAGGTCATCTACCCAGACCTCAAAGTCAATGGCCCGACCCTCAGCGTCAAAAGTGAGGACACTAGGGGTAGCCATGACAGCAGTAGACCAGCAGTGCAAGGAGTAGGGGAAGAGCACGCAGTGACAGAGGGTCTGTGCTCACCGGACAGGGCTGCTCGGGCGGCTCGGCTGCAGGGCGGCTCGGCCGCTGGGCGGCTGGGCGGCTCGGCGGCTCGGCGGCTGGGCGGCTCGGCAGCTGGGCGGCTCGGCGGCTGGGCGGTCGGCTGCACGGCGGCTCGGCTGGTGGGCGGCCGGGCGGCTCGGCTGCAGCGCGGCTCGGCGGCGGGGCGGCTCGGCTGCTCTGCTGCTGGGCGGTTCGGCTGCGCTGCTGTTGGGCGGCTCGGCTGGGCCGCTGACGTAGGGCGGCGGGGCCGCTGTAGAGGAGTGGCGGGGCCGCTGCAGAAGGACGGCGGGGCCGCTGGGTAGTGAGGCGGCGGGGCCGCGAAGACGGGCGGCGGGGCCGCTGCAGAGAAGCGGCGGGGCCGCAGTGAAGGGCGGCGGGGCCGCAACGAGAGAGGCGGCGGGGCCGCAGCGAGAGAAGCGGCGGGGCCGCGAAGTCGGGCGGCGGGGCCGCTGAGTAGGGCAGCGGGGCCGCAGTGGGAGGCGGCGGGGCCGCAGCGAGAGAGGCGGCGGGGCCGCGAAGACGGGCGGCGGGGCCGCTGAGACGGGTGGCGGGGCCGCAGTGAGTGGCGGCGGGGCCGCAGCGAGAGATGGCGGCGGGGCCGCGAAGACGGGCGGCGGGGCCGCAACGAGAGAGGCGGCGGGGCCGCAGAAAAGGGCGGCGACGGGCCGTAGGCGGCGCGAAGCCGCAGGTAAGGGCGGCGACGGGCCGGGGCGGCTCGAAGCCGCAGGTAGAGGCGGCGCGAAGCCGCGGGAAGGGCGGCGACGGGCCTGGGCGGCGCGAAGCCGCAGGTAGGGGCGGCGCGAAGCCGCCGGTGAGGGCGGCGCAAAGCCGCGGGTAAGGGCGGCGACGGGCCGGGAAAAGGGCGGCGCGCCGCAGCCGCTAGGGCGGCTCGACGCGACCGTAAGGGCGGCGCGACGGGCCGCTAGGTGCGACTCGACGGGCCGCTAAAAAAAAAAGGCAGGCGCGACTCGAGGCGCGCTTCGGTGGGCCCAAGGAACAGTCCCTAGGAGGGGACCTGCTCTGATTCCATGTGAGAATGAGAACGAGAATGGGTGAACTATGAAAATGAAGTGAGTACAAATATGAAACCCTAATTGGTTGTACCCCCTATGGGATACCCCACTATAGCCTACACAACAGCATAAGCTATAATGTTCTGACAAAAACATTCCCGCCAGCAAATTGCGGGAACCTGATGTCGCCGAACTGTCTGCCAGCAAATTCCCGTCCAACACCCCTAGAGTTGCGATGTCCGTCTTGTCTCCGAAGGTCAACGGAGGAGGAGCACAACGGACGGGAGGTCGTGGCTCGAGGAACGAAACCAAGGGTGAGCTTCTCTACATATGTCGTGTTAGTCACGCTTTGTCGTGCTTTTCTTGTCTTTGTTCTTCCTGTTTTTTCTGTTCTTGTTTTCATCTTGGTTCTGTCAGTTTTACTAACGTTTTTTTCTGTGTTTTAGTGCGCAGGTTTCGTGGAGGGGAGGCCGCTGGAGCCATCATTTTTTCCCATTTGTCTCTCTCTCTGTCTTGTCTCCGAAGGTCAATGGAGGAGGAGCACAACGGACGGGAGGTCGTGGCTGGAGGAACGAAACCAAGGGTGAGTTTCTCTACCTATGTCGTGTTAGTCGCGCTTTGTCGTGCTTTTCTCGTCTTTGTTCTTCCGGTTTTTTTCCGTTCTTGTTTTCATCTTGGTTCTGTCAGTTTTACTAACGTTTTTTTCTGTGTTTTAGTGCGCAGGTTTCGTGGAGGGGAGGTCGCTGGAGCCATCATTTTTTCCCTTCCGTCTCTCTCTTTGTCTTGTCTCCGAAGGTCAATGGAGGAGGAGCACAACGGACGGGAGGTCGTGGCTCGAGGAACGAAATCAAGGGTGAGCTTCTCTACCTATGCCTTGTTTGTCGCGCTTTGTCGTGCTTTTATTATCGTTGTTCTTCCCGTTCTTTCTGTTCTTGTTTTCATCTTGTTTCCATCAGTTTTACTAACGTTCTTTCGTGTTTTAGTGTGCAGGTTTCGTGGAGGGGAGGCCGCTGGAGCTTTCACCGTTTTCTCCCTCTCCTTCCGTTTTAGGCCATGGCGGAGGAGCAGAAGAACGGCACGGCACGGCACGGCACGGCACGGCACTGCTCGGCACGGCACGGCACTGCTCGGCACGGCACTGCTCGGCACGGCACTGCTCGGCACGGCACTGCTGAAGGGTGAGAGTTAGTAAGGTACGCGGGTGGCGAGTAGGAGCGACGACGGGGTGGCGAGTAGGAGCGACGACGGGGTGGCGAGTAGGAGCAGGAGCGAACACGTGGTACAGGTATTAGATGCGACGCGCGCTCGTGGTACAGGTTCGAGGTGGGGGTGGTTGGGTAGGTGTACATGCTCTCAGCTTTGTGGATTGTATGTATGCATACAGATGGGTTTCCCATCTTCAGCAGCCATGGAGCATCCCCGACTCGAGGCGCCTTCAACCTGACATCTGACATCCGGATATTTGAGGTGGTTCTCTGCCCGTTGGCGGGACAATCTTAAAGTTTTGCCCCAGGTGTCCCGTACGAATAACCCACACCTCAAAGCGGTGTACGGGTGAAACGCTAGGAGCTTGCTCCTAGCGGCCAAGAGGGGTCAAGACCGAAGTGCCTAATTCAGTTGAAGAGCAGCGTCGAAGAACCTCAGCGTTGTAGTTGTATTTTTACCATTCCCTTGTTTGTACTCTATTTTATAAGTTTAGTTTTGTGACGTTGATTTTGTATGAAACATGTATTGCTATAAAAAAACTGGTCCCCTAGTACTTCGCACTTCGTAGTCACCAAACAGGAAAACAATATCCGCGCAGCAGCAGTGAAGAAAACGAAATCCACCGAAGAAATCCTGCCCAGGGCAACGCTCTCTGTCAAAAATACAGTTCCCGCTCTCTGGAGCTTTTCGGGTCGCACCCAGAACAGTGTCAGTCGAACAAATCGGGCAGTTCAGTCCTCCGTCCCGCCAAACCGTTTCGCGGTACGGTTCTCTGCCATTTGATGCGATGTGCTGTCTGATGCTCCATCATCGCTGTTCACTGAACTCTTGTCCGTGTTACCAGCTCTTTGAAGTTTCGTTGCTTCGATACACGATCACAGGCAGAACTCAGCATTTTGTGCGATCGGAAATACAAATTTGCCAGCGGAAAGCACATCTATGTCAGGAAATACAAATTTGCCACTATAACAGAATTGTTATTCAAACTTCAAACCCTCTCTTTCTCATTATCGCGTACGTCATACCTCCAGAGAAGTAGAACGAGACTCCCAACATCCTTGGCGGTCTTACCACCATGATGATTTCATGAAGTTTTAGAAAGCACCGCTCTGATGGCTGACGCACTGCGTCACAGGCAGGACCGCGCTGATTTGACCAACATCATTTTGTAGCTTTCTTGTTCGAAATCCACCCCTAAATATGGCGTACCTTTTCCCTTCGCAAGTCGTTTCGATTCGCGCATTGAGAGCCGTGCGGCCTGATGATGGTCGCGAGTTGCCTCTTAGAAACTTAAAAAATCCGCTCAAGCATGTCAATCTACCCTTATCGAAAGCGGTTCCCAGGGTTCGAACCCGTGACCACAGCCTGACAATCAGGTGTGACGCTGGAAAACCCTTCAGACCAGCAGAGCTTTCAACGGCTGAGATCGCATTTGGGGAAATCGAGCCGTCGCTGCCTATTGAGACAGGGATTGAGACGCGTAAAGTGGGGGAAGAGGAGGGGGAGGGCAATGGCGGCAAAGGGGAGAGCAACGTGAGGCCAGTGAGGGGCGAAGAGCCGGGGAATAGGGGGAGTGGGGATAGGGGGAGTGGGGATAAGAGGAGCGGAAGGAGAGCAGGGAAAACGAGCAGAGGGGGGGAAAGTTGCGAAGAAGAGGAGGCAGTGGCAATCATTGCGAGAGTGCTAAGAGGGAAATTCGGGCCTCAGGTTGTGCGAGAGGAGGAGGATGGAGGCGGAAGCAGCGAGGACGAAAAGGAGATTAAGGAGGCAGGGGAGGAAGAGGAGGTACAGGAGGCAGCGAGAGTGAAAGAGGAGGAAGGGGTACCGGTCAGTGAAATGGAGGACGGCGAGGGGAGAGGGGACGATATAAAAGCAGAATTCAGCGAGGAGGACTTACAGGTAGCACGTCTTTCCCCACACCTGCAATGCCACTCAAGGGCACACGTGCAACTTCCCCCTCCTCCCTCCTCTCCCTCTACCGTTTCTTCTCTTCCCACCTCGGCATCTCCTCACCTTCCACTGTCGCTTCCCTCCTCGCCTCGCACCCTGCCCTCCTCCGCTCCGATCCGGCCAGTGACCTGCTGCCACGTGTCCAACTTCTACAGTCGTACGGCATTTCCCAGGCCACCATTGTGCACATCACCATCACGAATGCGTCTTGGTTCCGAAGCTCGCTTCCTCAAATTCAGGGGACGATTGAGTTTATCCTGGCTCGGGGCGTGCGCCGAAGCAAGCTAGGCATGGTGATCCGGGGTTCGCCGTACCTCATCCGCTCGCATGCTCGTTCAACGAACCTGGACATTCTGGTGGAGGCAGCTGGGATTCCCGAGGAGAAGCTGGGTGTGATTATAGAGAGGTGCCCAAATATCTTATGTCGAAGTGAAGAATCCATACAGGATCAAATCAAGCTGCTGTCAGACTACTTGTCAGATGGATTTGAAGAGAAGGGGACAGAAGGGGATACCACCAGCAGCACAGGACACCTGAAGCAGCACCTGAAAAAACACCTGAATCGGCAACGTCTGGACAAAAAGATCCTCCTGGCGAGGCTTCTTCTGAATTACCCACGGATCCTCCTCTCCTCTTCTGATCGTATCTCAGCCAATCTCCGCCTCCTCCAGTCCTTCACTCCCCCTGATAGCCCCTCCATTGCCATCCCTGTTCTCCGCCACGCTCCTTCCATCCTAAACCTCGGTTCGGAGAATCTTTTAGCTAAGCTCCAGTTCTTTGTGGAGCTGGTCGGGAAAAAGGCAGCAGGGAGGGTGGTTAGTAGTCATCCGCTGGTTTTGACACTGTCTAAGAAGAATTTGGAGGGTAAGGTGGCGGTTCTGAGCGGTTTAATTGGCCCGGAGAATGCTGCACTCGCCGTGGCGCGATTCCCACTGCTGCTGACTTCTGGAGAAGAGACCATGAAGCAGAACTATGCAGAGCTTTTGAGGGAGTTTCAGGAGGCGTTGGAAGGGGGAGGAGGGGATGAGGGTGGGATTGAGGGACTGGAGGCAGGTGGGATTGGTGAAGCGAAGGAGGGGGATGGAGAGTATAGGTCTCAAAATGGAAAACAAGAAGGTATATCCGGCGTGGGTGAAGGTTCTGTGAATGGAGTGGAGGAGTTAGCATGTAAGCTGGTGATAAATCTGGCTGTGAAGTCCCCGCAATGCGTTTACTACAGCTGGGATGGGAACATGAGGCACAAGGTGGAGTACTTGAAGCGGGAAATGGGGCTCTCTATAATGGAGGTGCTTGCCTTCCCTCCATTCCTGGGGTTTAACCTGGATCGGCGAATCAAGACGCGACATGCGGCGCTGCTGCAGTTGGGCTACGACGTTGTGTCCTATAAGACTGTGGCTCTTCAGAAGCTCAGCAGCAATCGGAAAGGGGCTGCGGACAAAGATGAGGAGAGGGGAAACCGAGAGGAGGACGTGGACGGGAAATTGAAGAAGGGTTTGGCAGATGTGGGGAATGGGGAAGATGAGTGGCAAGAAGAGGAGGCTGATGAGGAGAGAAATGAGCTTCTGGTGAGACCGCATGAAGGTAACGACGAGCCAAGAGGAAGAGGCGGATTTGAGAGTCAAGTAATGGCACAGGAGCAACAACCTAAGAAGCGGGTGTGCTTGTCTCAGTTCCTTAGTTGTACTGATAAGCGCTTTGAGGAGAAATTTATGACCAAAGTTTAGGAGGTAGGAGGACTATCACTACATTTGCACAGATTTTTTCTGTTTTAGGCTCAGCTCAGCACCCTTTTTCAAGAAATTGTTGTATAAGATCTGGTGCTCGTGTGAAATATTGCACGTAAATTCATCAATCTGGTGTGTGCTCCATTGATCTCAATAAACGGGTACGAATCTGAAACGGCACAAGCCATCTCGCGGGCTTGACAGGCGAACACCCAAGACTTTTCGCAAGTGTGGCAACCAGCCGTCGCTTCGAAAGAAATGGGCTGACGACCGCGCAGGAATCTTCGCATGGGACAAATTATTGTCGCAATGCACTCGTGAAAGGAGATTGCATTGATGCGCCAGCGATGGTTACCCCAGCTCGGTATTCCCAGTGCTGGCAGTGGGAGGATCCATCTTTTTCACTCATCTGGATTCACCATTGTCCTTCAATCAGAGCACTTCTCTGTTGTTGTTCTCTTGGGTTTGTTTTGTGAACTAGCTTCTAGCCTGCGAGATGTCTGCAGGCAGCAACTGGAGAAACTATCAAGACGAGACGGTTTTCTCTTTTCTGCTAGTCACTGCAACAATTTGGGAATCAGGAATCACTACTGATGGTCGTCATAGGACAAACACTTTAGGCGTATAAGTCGTTCATGTAGTCCATAATCCGTTTCATTGCATCCATCGGCTGTTCGATATGGCGTATCGTACCAGAACGTCTCGGCCATCCATAGCGTGGATCAACAGATTAAGATTTTCATCGAGATACATCACGCAGTCTTCGATGCCTTGTTCTAAGCCATTCTCAGAGAAGCCTGGACTGGCACCCACAGCTGGTATTCCATCCCAGCCGAACCTCTACCGGTTTGGGCTAAACCGCCGCATTCAACAGGATTCGAACTCCTGACCGGAGCTTCACTATAATCTGTTCCGTTGGGTCGTTGGCAAGATCAGCCGAGGTTCTCAAGGCGGAAAGCGCGAGCGTGCGATGCGATATAACTCTTGATTCGCATGAGCATGTTCCAGACACGGAAAGCGCGAACGTGCGATTCTATCCGCCCTTCGATGGCAAGCCAGTACCAGCGGTTGGGACGGAGACTCGGATGCGTACAGATGGAAGAGAGGAGGGAGAGAGTGAGGGAGGAGAGTCAGAGAAGAGTGAGAGTGGAGTGGGAAGAGGGGAGGTGTACGGCAGAGGAGAGCGTACGAGACGTGAGTCGAGAGAAAGGAAAGTGGAGGAAAAGGTTGAGGGAGGCGGGTGGAAGCGTGGAGGGAGAGGATTATGCAAAGCGACAGAGGAGGAGGAGGCAGTGGCAATGATTGCTGAATTATTGAGAGAGAAATTTGGGCCTCAGATAGTGATAAAGGAGGAGGAGGGGGGTTCAATAAACGGAAGGGTTACGGATGAGGAGGAGGATAAGGGACGACAAGAAGAGGAGGAGGAGGAATATGGGGATGAGGAAACAGAGGGTTCAGAAGTAGAGGAGGAAGATGGTGGGGAAGGGAACGAGGGGGAGGACGCAGCAGTAGTAGCAAGGGAGGAGGTCGGATCACCCATCACATCTCCTCCCACACGCCCTCCTCCTCCACGCAACGGCCCTCGAGTCGTATCTCCCTCCTCCCTCCTCTCCCTCTACCGCTTCTTCTCCTCCCACCTCGGCATCTCCTCCCCTTCCATTGTCGCTTCCCTCCTCGCCTCCCGCCCTTCGCTCCTTCGGTCTGATCCCACCAATGACTTTCTGCCACGTGTCCAGCTTCTCCAGTCTTATGGCGTATCCCGTGCCGACACCTCAGCCATCACCATGAAAAACGCTTACTGGCTCCGACTCTCCCTTCCCCAGGTTCGGGATATGCTTGACTTTCTCTTGGCTCGGGGCATTCTCCGAACCAAGCTAGGTGCGGTGCTTCGAAAGTCTCCATATCTCATCGGCACACGAGCTCGTTCAACGAACCTGGACATATTGGTGGAAAGAGCAGGGGTTCCTGTGGACAAGCTGCCTGTGATTATAGCAAGAGGACCAGATATTTTATATTTGCGTGAGGAAGTCATAAGAAGTCGCCTCGAGCTACTATCAGCGTATTTTACCAATGGATGCGAAGGAGGAAACTTCAGCAGCGGGCACCTGATGCAACACCTGAATATGCAGCACAAGGACAAGAATCACCTGAGCAGACTCCTGGTGCGGTACCCAGCTATCCTCCTCAATCCTCACGAGCGCATCCCTGAAATCCTCAGTCTCCTCCAGTCCTTCACTCCCCCTGACAGCCCCTCCGTTGCCATCCCAATTCTCAGCCAGGCCCCCTCTCTCGTCCACCTCAGCTCTCAGACTCTTTTATCTAAGCTCCAGTACTTAGTGGGAGTGGTGGGGAAGAAGGCAGCAGGGAGCGTGGTGCGCAGCTACTCGTCGATTCTTATTCTATCGGTAGAGAACATGCGGGGCAAGGTGGCGTTGTTGGGCGATCTGATTGGACGAGAGAACGCTGTGCTTGCTGTGGCTCGGTTTCCTAGGCTGCTGTCATCTAGTGGTGAGAACATTCAGATGTGTTTTAGAGAACTCGTGCGAGAAGTGGAGGCAGCAATGGAGGAGAGTGGAGGAGAGGAGGTGAGGAGGCAAATGCTCGAGGAAGGTGCAAGGAAGCTAGCAAGCGGAGGGAGCGGACGAGCATTCAAGAGCATTGCTGGTCTCACGATAGCTCATGAGATGGTGGTGAATCTGGTGGTTAAGAATCCAGCAATTATCTGCTACAATTGGGAGTGGAACACAAGGCACAAGGTGGATTACTTAAAACGGGACATGGGGCTCCCTGTAACGGAGGTCCTTGCGTACCCGCACTTCCTTGGGTACAGCCTCGATCAGCGAATCAGACCGCGACATCTGGCGGTGCTGAGCAAGGGCTACGTGCTCGTGCCGCATGAGGTGGCTCTGCCGAATAATAGGGGAGAAGGGGGAGGGAATTTGGAGGGAGTTAGTAGCGAGAGGAGGGCAGAAGGGAAGGATGAGGATGCTAAAGTGGATTACGGGGAGGATGAGGGTGAGATGGGTGAGTTGGGGGTGGGGACGGTCGAGTGTCAAAGTGTTTTAGATTCTATGCAAGACAGCTATGACGTGTTGGGGAGAACGGGTGCTGCGAACGGGTGTGGCATGAATCAGCAGCAGGGAAGGGCGGCGCTGTGCTTGATTCAGCTGCTTAAATGCACAGACAAGGAGTTTGAAAAGAGATTCAAGGTTGAGCTTGCACCGTTCATGCCGGAAACTTGTCCCTAGTCGGGCTTTTGAGGCGCCTCAAAAAAGGGGGCGGTGTGCTTGGTTCTGTGCTTGTTTGCCCAGACAATGAATTCGAAAAGAGTTTCAAGGTTGAGATTTGCACCGTTCATTGCCAGACGCTCATCCCTAGTCAGTCAGGCTTTCAAGCGCCTCAAAAGGGAGGCGGTTTGCGTGACTCAGTTGCTTAAATGCAAACATATAGTCTGAAAAGAACTTTCAGGTTGAGATCTCGCAGTTCATGTCGGGTTTATTGAAGCATTTGTACCAAACGGGTACGAATATGAAACGACAACACACGGACTTGACAGGCGAACACGCACGACATCGCAATTGGAGCAACCAGTCGTCGCTTGGATACATTGGGGCTAGCGAAAGAACACGAAACTCGTGAAAGGTGAGTAATTGATTCGCCAGCCTAGATGATCGCAGCTCGGTAATCCCAGTGCCTGCAGCAAGCGAGACCAGAAAACTATCGTTCTCCGATTCGTTCTGTTTGCAACTGCCATTGCCTACTCCCAGATTTCTGACTCAAAAAACAGGTTGTTTACGTGCCTGTATCCTAAAGATCTGCTGTAAGTGAGCGACATGACTGCCGCCTGCGAACTGGAGTAACCATGGATACGAAACGCTTCTTTAATTCGTTCGTTTTCTGGCAGTCACTGCAACGATTAGAAAAACGCTACCGATAATCCGTAATCGGTCGAGCACCACAGCCGAATAACTCGCTCATGTAATCTTTCATCCTTTTGGTTACATCCATCGGTTACGATATGGCGTATCGTGTCTCTAGGTCACGGCCATCCATCCCGTGGATTGACAGATTAGGTTTTACGTTAAGATACATGACGCAGTCTTCTTCGCCTCGTTCCAAGTCATTTTTAGAGAAATCTGGAATGGCATCAACAGCTGTTATTCCTTCCCCGCCGAGCCTTTACCTGTTTGGGCTAAGTCGACACCAACCTGCGGAAAACGCATTCACCAGGATTCGAACCCCTGACCGGAGCTTCAATATAAGCTGTTCCGTTGGTTCGTTGGCCAGAGCAGGAGTGGTTCACGAGGCGGAAAGCGCGACTCTGCGATTCGAACCGAGCTTCGACGACGAGCCAGTACTGTCGGTTGGGACGGAGGCTCGGTTGCGTGCAGGAGGAAGAGATGAAGGAGAAAGTGAGGGACGAAAATCAGAAAAGAGCGAGAGTAGAGTGACAAGAGCAAGGGAAGTGGAGGACAAGGTTGCGGGAGGCGGGTGGAATGGAGAGAGGGAAGGATGCAAGGAGACAGAGGAGGAGGAAAAGGCAATGGCTGTGATTGCCGGAGTGCTGAGAGAAAAATTCGGGTCCCAGATTGTGACAGAGGAGCTGTTTAGTAACGGAAGGATTACGGAGGAGGAGCAGGCTAAGGGACGACAAGAAGAGGAGGAGGGGGATGGGGATGAGGAAACAGAAGGCTCAGAAGTTGGGGGCGAAGAGGATGGGGAAGTGAACGAGGGGGAAGACGCAGAAGCAGAAGCAGGAGCGTGTGAGGAGGACGCACCACCACCCACCACATCTCCTCCCACACTCCCTCCTCCATGCAACGGCCTGCGGGTCGTATCTCCCTCCTCCCTCCTCTCCCTCCACCGCTTCTTCTCCTCCCACCTCTGCATCTCTTCCCCTTCCACTGTCGCTTCCCTCCTCGCCTCCACCCCCCAACTCCTCCGTTCCAGTCCCACCAATGACTTCCTGCCACGTGTCCGTCTCCTCCAGTCATACGGCTTATCTCGTGCCGACGTTGCCTTCATCACTCAGAAAGGACCAGCCTGGCTTCGAATCTCCCTTGCACAGATTCAAAACACCCTTGAGTTTCTCTTGGCTCATGGCGTCCCCCGCAGCAAATTGAGCTTGGTGCTCCGACGAGGACGCGATTTACTCTGCAAGCTGGGTGTGATTATAGAGAGAGCCCCGGGGATTCTAGGCGTGAGGGAGGAATTCATACGAAGTCGACTCGAGCAGGTATCAACGTTTCTTACTAACGGATACGGAGAAGGAAGCGTCACCAGTGGGCACCTGAGGCAACACCTGAATAGGCAGCACAAGGACAAAAATCACCTGGGCAGAATTCTGGTGCAGTATCCTAAAATCCTCCTCAGGCCTCCGGAGCGCATTGCTGCCAACTTCAGCCTCCTCCAGTCCTTCACTCCCCCTGGCACCCCCTCCATTGCTGTCCCTGTTCTTTGCCGGGCCCCTACTATCGTCCACCACAGCTCGCAGACAATCTTAGCTAAGCTCCAGTTCTTAGTGGAGATCGTGGGAAAGAAGGCAGCAGGGAGCGTGGTGTGAAGCCATCCATCGGTTCTTATTCTATCGGTAGAGAACATGCAAGGCAAGGTGGATTTGTTGAGCGATCTGATTGGCCGAGAGAACGCTGTGCTTGCAGTGGCGCGGTATCCTTTGCTGCTGGGTTCCAATGAGGAGAATCTGAAGAGGCGTTTCAGCGAGCTTGTGCGAGAAGTGCAGGAGGCTCTGGAGGAGAGTGGAGGAGAGGAGAATGGGAGGCAAATGCTCCAGGAAGGTGCACGGAAGCTTGTGCGAGAAGTGGAAGAGGTATCGGAGGGTGGTGAAGCTGATGGGGTTGCTGGAGGAAGCTTGCCTGTTGAAGAGCCTCAGAAGGATTCAAAGGATGCAAGAGAGCGTGCGGAGGGAGTGGGACGTGGTGCAGAAGCAAGGGCAGGAGAAGGACGAGGCTTTAAGAACTCTAATGGCTGCTCGACAGCTCGTGAGATGGTGGCAAATCTGGTGATTAAGTATCTGACAAGTATATGCTACAGTTGGGAGGGGAACACAAGGCGCAAGATTGAGTACTTAAAGCGGGACATGGGGCTCTCTATTAAGGAGGTGCTTGCGTTCCCTAATTTCCTTACGTACAGTTTGGATCGGCGAATCAGACCGCGGCATTTGGCGCTTCTGAGAGAGGGCTATGTGTTGGCGCCACATGAGGTAGCTCTGCCAAAACATTGTGAAGGGGGAGGGCACCTGGAAGGCATTTTCATTGGGAGGAGGCGGGCAGAAGAGAAGGAAGCAGGGGAGGGTGTGGGTGGGAAAGATGAGTTCGGGGTGAGGAAGCAGGAGGATAGAACTGCTTTGAAATCTGGGGAGAGGATAGCACAAGATGGCTATACTGCGTTGGGGGGAGAAGGGGCTGTGGCTGTGCGCCGTTTGTCTCAGCGGCGTGAGAAATGGCGGCAGGGAAGGAAGGCGGTTTGCTTGAGTCAGTTTCTTGCGTGCACGGACGAGGAGTTTATTAAGAGATTTGAAGTTGAGGTCACACCGTTCATGCTGGAAGCTCATCCCTAGTCGGGTTTCTGAGGTGCCTGAAAATGGAGGCAGTGTGCTTGAGTCAGCTGCTTAGATGCTCAGACGAGGAGGTTGGAAAGATATGTAGAGTTGAACAAGACGCTAGTAACTCATTACTAGAGAGGACACTGGAAAGTGGAGGCGACAATGGTGGGCCTGGGGACTGGTGGACAGAAGAGAAGTACGGTAGATGTTTCCCGATGTAACACAAGAAGCAAGGTGTTTCTAGGATTGCCGAAGGTTCACATCACCAGTACACACAGTTAGGAGATACTGTAGCAATGCCGATACTGCACACACCTGATAATATGGACAACTAGCAAGCATTCCCATCCCGGATTGCAATTCAATTTACCGTATAGTTCTGGCTAGAAGACCCGCCGGTAAGAAGGTCCCCCGGGACTCTTGAATGGGTAGGGGGACTCTTATCGTGGCCGATTTTGTGAGGACCCCCCCTTGGCCTCTAATCATCATAAGACCCCCCTTTTCTGTATACAAAAGTTATGATTGATATTGTGCGTCAGCTTTTACTGGAGTAAATTCGAATTCTGACACGCTTTTTGTGTCAGACTCGAATTCTGACACTTCATTTGTGTCAGACTCGAATTCTGACACAGATCTGACGCGCCGCACGCGCAAAATTTGCGCGAATTCGTTACGAATATAAGACCCCCCCACCCCAAATTGAGTCGTACACCCTAAATATCAGATTGATAATTGACAAATAGGTTACCCCGGGTCTTAAAAATTTGCTGCCGCCATAATGTCCACCCAAGCACAATTTCCAGCATTTGTAGAGAGTCCCCCGGGTCTTCTAGCCGGAACTATACGGTACCGGTAAGAGAATTCCTACAAACAAAATGTTCAACAGCAATCTTTCTACTCTAGTACAGTGACAGCTTGATTGGAAGTCACAGGTTCTACAAGGACATTTTAAGATTCAGCCTTGACGAAGTCCTCTGCGGTGGTTTCAACCTCCACTGTCCGACTCAGTAGTAACCACAGTGGCATCAGTCGAGGCAGTGGTGGTGGTAGTAGTGATGGTAGTGGTGATGGTAGTCGTTGTCGTCTCGAATGTCACCTCTTCCGTCACCTATTCTACGATTCAGCCTCGACAAATTCCTCTTCGGTGGTTTCCACCTCCACACTGGCCGACTCAGTAGTAACCACAGTGGCTTCAGTAGTGGCAGCAGTGGTGGTAGCAGTGGTGGTCGTGGTGCTGCTGGTGGTGGTTGTGGTGGTAGTAGTCACCGTCTCTGTTGCCACCTCTTCCGTCGCCACCACACTCTCCTCCTTTGTTTCAATCACCTCCTCTATAACCACACTGCTCTTCACACTCGTCCCCTCCTCACCCCCCTTACCAGACTCAGTCCCCCGCACCTTCCCCTGCAGCTTAGACACCGGCAGCAGCTTGGTAAACTCGGGGTTTTTCTTCTGGAGCAGGTAAGCGGACGCCCAGTACCAGCCGAGCATGATCTGCACCTCCTTGCGCACAGATTTGGCCACGGAGCTATCGGAGAAGGAGAGGCGCTCCAGCACCTGCTTGCCCGTGCTCAGGTCCGTGGGCTTGCTGGCCTCGAATGTGAGCCCGTCAAACTCGTTCACACACAGCGCCTCAAAGCCCCTGGTGGGGAGGGACGGGAAGGGCGTCGGGAGAAAACGGTGCGGGAAAGAGACAGGGGGGAAGGAAGGTCCATGGGCTTGCTGGCCTCGAATGTGAGTCCATCGAACTCGTTCACACACAGCGCCTCAAAGCCCCTGGTGGGGAGGGAAGGGGTAGGAAGGGAGAGAGGGGCGAGAGGAGAGGCGCTCCAGCACCTGCTTGCCCGTGCTCAGATCCGTGGGCTTGCTCGCCTCGAATGTGAGCCCGTCAAACTCGTTCACACACAGCGCCTCAAAGCCCCTGGTGGGAAGGAGAGAGGAGGGAGGAGAGAAGGGGTAGAGAAGGTCCGTGGGCTTGCTCGCCTCGAATGTGAGCCCGTCAAACTCGTTCACACACAGCGCCTCAAAACCCCTGGTGGGGAGGGAAGGGCGTGGGAAGGTGTAAAGGATTATTTTTTTAGGCGCCTCAAAAGAATAAGATTCAATCACACAGCACTCGGATATATTCAATCACACAGCGGATGAGGGAGGTGTTGGGGATCCAGCGGAAGATGACAGGCGTGTTGTCGGGGTTGACGTAGTACCCTCCAAAGACAATGAATATGGATGGTCCATGGACCATGGGTGCATGGACAAAGGTCACATGGTCCATGGGCATGAGGGCAAGTGTACTGACCAGCGGATGAGTGAGGTGTTGGGAATCCAGCGGAAGATGACTGGTGTGTTGTCGGGGTTGACGTAGTACCCTCCGAAGACGATGAAGACCGTCATTATGGAGGGGCCGAGCGCCATGGCTGCTTCGACCGTGGGGGCGATGCAGCCCACTGTGAGCCCCATGGCTGAGGAGGTGAAGGACTCGACCGTTGTTGCTCCCATGAACTTGAGAAACCTGCAACGGGGGAGGATGGGGAGTGATGGGGGAGAGGGTTGAGCGACCAGGGAAGTGGAAAAAATGCACCCCACTGTGAGGCCCATGGCTGATGAGGTGAAGGACTCCACCGTTGTGGCTCCCATGAACTTGAGGAACCTGTGACAGCGGAGGATGGGGAGTCGGGGAACGTGGGGACGGGGAGGGGAAGGGAGGGGGGGATTGGGGAAAGGATGGGTGATTGCTGTGGTGGGGGCAATGCATCATACACCCCACTGTGAGCCCCATGGCTGACAGCGTGAAGTATAGTGGCATGGCAAAGTCGCATGGTAGCAATGTCTCTCACCTGGGTATAGTGCAGTGCAGACCGGTCATGGGGTAGCACACCACGGAGAAGAGCGCAGGGAAAAACGCCGTCACGGGCAGCTCAGCGACCAGCTTGGACAGAAAATACGGGCCCACCGCATACGCCCCCTTGGCCCTCTCCCTTCCTCTCTACTGAACAGGCTGGTACCGTGTCTCTCACCTGGGTATAGTGCGGTGCAGTCCGGTCATCGGGTAGCACACCACCGAGAAGAGCGCCGGGAAAAACGCCGTCACGGGCAGCTCAGCCACCAGCTTGGACAGAAAATACGGGCCCACCGCATACGCTCCTTTCGCCCTCTCCCTGTCCACTATCTGCCGCTCCTTGGGAAACACATTCAGCGTCTTGGTGATGGAAGCCATAGCCGTGTTGATCGCTGCGACTTGCAGGAGTCCCATGCGGTCCTGGATAGTGGTCTGTCCGAAGCCCATGCGCCAGAAGATGGACCCGAAGATGGCTGCTGAGGTCAGGTTCATCATGGCTCGGACCACGTTGGTGGCGCGGTCGCGAGTGGTTTGGCGCCAGGCTCGGACTAAGAGGATCCGGAACTGCTGCCAGAAGCCTGCCCCGTCCGCATCTGCCTTGGCTGCTGTCAGCCCGAGCTTCCGCTTCGGCTCCTGCCCCGCCTCCCCCTCCTCGTCGTCGTCATCGAGGCTGGACTGGAGGGCGGAGGAGACGGCCAGGGCGGCGCTGGTGTCGGCCTGGGCGGTGGAGTGGGCGGCGAAGGCTTGGATGAGGCGGGAGATGCGGGTGGCGGACTGGGCTTCGGTGTCGGGGGAGGAGTGGTCTGTGCCGACCAGGTCTGAGAGGAACTCTGCCGGGTTGGAGTGCAGCGGGCACTCGTGACTGGAGGTTACAGGGAGGGAGGGGGAAGAGGGAGGGGGAAAGGAGGGGAGATTAGAGGCGTCTCACAATGCGCCTTAGTATCAGGAGGAGTGGTCGGTGCCGACCAGGTCTGAAAGGAACTCTGCTGGGTTGGAGTGCAGCGGGCACTCGTGCCTGCAGAGGTGGGGTGCAGGGGAAAAACGGGGGGGAAGGGGTGTGGGTTCGAGACTTCCCACAACAGACCTCGGTGTCGGGAGAGGAGTGGTCCGTGCCGACCAGGTCTGAGAGGAACTCTGCTGGGTTGGAGTGCAGCGGGCACTCGTGACTGCAGGGGTAGGTAAGAAGGGAAGGAAGAAACGCATGAAGCAAGGAAGGTATGAGGGGGCTAGAGGAGGAATAGTGGGATCCCTTCCCATGTGCACCCTCAGACTCACTTTCGGGTCTTGAAGTACTCGAAGCACATGTCTGCTGCCGGCCCCGAGCAGACAACTTCTTCAACCCTTCCTCACCTCCCCCACCTCTTCTCTCGCCCTCTCTTCAACCCCCACCATTTACCCTCCCTTCTCCTTTCCATTCCCTTATCGCAACTCATCCTCCACCCACCCCTGATTCTGGAAGTACACCAAGCACGTGTCCCCTGCCCACCCCGAATAGACCACTCTCCCCCCTCTCCCCCTCCTCTTCCCGTCCTCTCCCCGCATCTCCCTGCCATGCATCCTCCACTCACCCTGGAACTTGAAGTTCTCAAGGCACGCATCCCCTGCCGGCCCCGAATAGACCATTCCCACTAAGCCTTCCCCCATCCTCTTTTCACCTTCCTGTCCCCTACGCACCCTCCACTCACCCCTGACTCTTAAAGTACTCCAGGCACGTGTTTCCTGCCGGCCCTGAGTAGACGAGCTTGCCGCCCGCAACCACCATGATGTCATCAAACATGTCAAACACGCTGCCACGTGGCTGATGGATACTGGTGGATGGACGAAAGGGGGTTGGGGGGGGGGGGGGGGAGAAGGGGGAGAAGGACGGGAAGGAGGGGGGATGAGATTGCGGACCACATGGGAGAAGGTCATAAGAGAGTGTGAAAAAAGAGAGACGAATGCTTCAAGGGGGAAGGGGTGGGCTGGAAGGGGCGATGGAGGGAGGGAGAGGTTGAGAGCAAGGAGAGGCGGATTTGGAAAGGGAAGATAAGACGCGTCAAGATAAAGAGCAGCATGCAACCCAACCCAACCCAACCCAAACCAACCCAACCCAACCCAACCCAGCGCATCCATATCCTCTTCCCAGTCCCTCCCACATACACACACGGCCACCCGCACACACGCTAGCACTATCTCTCCCTCCCGCTGCAATCCCTTCAACTCACGCCCTCCTGTGCCCTCACCTGCAGATGATGGTACGGCCTTCCTTAGCAAAGTCTTTGAGCGTCTGCATGACTTTTCCGCCTGGTGTACGCGTCCAGCCCGTGGTGGGACTCCTTGGCGAACACCACGCCCTCATGCCACCCACTAGCTGCTGCACAATGCGCCCCTCTTAAGACAGGCAGCGCTCACCTGCAGATGACGGTGCGGCCCTCCTTAGCAAGGTCCTTGAGCGTCTGCATGACTTTCTCCCCCTGGTACGCGTCCAGCCCCGTCGTGGGCCTCCTTGCCCGCTCACCTCACACCCTCATGCCATTCTCCCGCCAATTCCTTCTCTATGCAAACGGCTCTCACCTGCAAATCACGGTGCGGCCTTCCTTGGTGAGGTCTTTGAGCGTCTGCATGACCTTCTCCGCCTGGTTTGCGTCCGGCCCCGTGGTGGGCTCGTCCGCGAACACCACGCCCTCATGCCACTCACTAGCTGCATAGTGCACCCCTCTTAACGCGGGCAGCACTCACCTGCAAATCACCGTACGGCCTTCCTTGGCGAGGTCTTTCAGCGTCTGCATGACTTTCTCGGCCTGGTACGCGTCCAGCCCCGTGGTGGGCTCGTCCGCGAACACCACAGACGGGTTACCCAGCAGCTCGCACGCGATGGATAGCCGTTTCTTCTCGCCACCACTGATGCCGCGCGTCTTGTTGTCGCCTACTATCGTGCCCGCCGCGTTCACCTGGACGAATGGATGGTTGGAGGTATGGGGGAGAAGAAGGGAGGAAAGGGAGAGAAGGGTTAGTTTTTCCTAAGGCGTATCAGGGATTGGCAGGGGTGAAGCACGTACCATGGTGCCCGCTGCATTCACTCGCACTGTGGTGGTTCTTTCGTCAACAAAATTCAACAATGTAGACAAGCTCAGGTGCTGCGGCAACTCGTCGACGTGCTGCTCTTCTGACTCAATCTGTCGGTGGCCGAGTGACCGAGTGACTCAATGACCGAGTGATTCAATGGTCAAGTGACAGACTCACCAGGCCCAGGTGCTACAGCAGCTCCTCCACATGCTGCTCCTTCTCCGCGTGCTTTGAGACATCTCACATCCATCGGACCATGTATTAATTTATACAACACGTACAATCAAACTCAACTCACCAGCCCCAGGTGCTGCAGCAGCTCCTCCACGTGCTGCTCCTTCTCCGCGTCGGACATGGACGACGGCAGCTGCAGCTTCGCCGCCGTCACCAGGGTCTCACGTACGGTCAGCTGCGAGAAGAAAATGTCCTCCTGCCGGACGTACACCTGCCTGCGCTCAGAAAAGGCCGTGCAGAAAAAAACAAACAAACATATAAACAAAAACAAGGGTATTAACGGAGAAACGTATGCGTAAGTGTTCGTAAGGGTACTGGGAATCCTACGTTCACAGGCGCCAGCGCCAGTGGGACGTTCTGACGGATAATCTAGCAAGGCACTGCACGCTTCCGAGAAAAAATGCGAATGGCAGCACATGCGTCATACTGAAAGAGCTTACTTGTGCCATGAATCCCCAACGGGGATGCCATTAGCGCGGATGGAACCGTAGAGCGCGATGTTGCTGCTCATAGGCAGCTATTCTTTAGTACACTCAAAAACACGCAAGAATGGCTTACTTGTGCCATGAATCCGCAATGGGGATGCCATTAGCGCGGATTGATCCGTAGAGCGCGATCTTGCTGCTCTTAGGCAGCTGACCCGCAAGAGTGTTGAGCAGCGTCGTCTTGCCGGACCCCGACGGTCCCATGATCGCCAGCAGGCGACCGGGCCTCGCGCTGCCATTCAGCCCGTCCAATAGCTTCTTCACCTGCGGGTAGGGAAGAAGGCAGCACGATATTTTTCTAGGGAACCTCGGCAGTGTCTGTCTTGCCGGACCCTGACAGGCCCGTAAAGGCCTATAGGCGACCAGGCCCCGCGCTGCTGTTCGGCAAGTCCCACAGCTTCTTCACCTGACATGAATGGGGTCTCAATTGTTGAGGTAAAAACTGTTTCCATATTTGCAAGTAACAAATCTCAACGTTGACTATCTTCGTGATGTTACCGTGCTTTGTCGATGTTTGACTGAGCTGCATCACCTGTCCCTTCGTCAGTTTGGGGTTGTACGGAACTACTGAATCGACAATGTCGTACCTCTTCTCCCTTCTTATCGAGAAGCTGGCACGTGATGTCGCTCCATTCAAGCTTCACGCCACGGTCGGGGTCGCCGGCGACAAACGACTTATGTCGCACGGCCTTTCCCTTCTTACCGCCGCGCACCAGGCTTCCGACGGCACTAACCGCGACAATTATCGTGCGGTGCTGCGGGAATGCAGCGTATGCTGCGACACTGACAATAAAACCCCAGGGGACCATTCTTAACGCTGTATCGAGACAATCACGCGCAGGGAACGAACCCTAGTCTGGTCAGGACTAGGAACAAATTGGGAAACCAGGAAGAAGATTGAAAGGCTGGTAAAATGAAGAAATGTGAGAGTCCTGAATGAAGAAATCGATGGTGCTGGTTTCCTTGGGATTGGAAATTGGAGATGGCGACGAGGCTTTGAGGCCCGGAAGAATGAAAGGTTCTCTTGAAGTTGTCGCTGCCCGCGACAGCGTGGCGAATCGAACGATGTCGTTCATGCCAAGGCCGCGTAGACTTTCGCGAACAGATGGGAGAGAGAAGCAGAAACGTGGCAGGGCGCCTAGATTTCCGGGTTGCCAGCTGTCCTTCTGGAAGTCTGCGATTCTTTACAATCATGACATACTGTTGGGCTGAGCTTGGCTGTTTTTAAGCCGACTTTCTCAGAGAAACGTAACATTGGTTTTAAAAAAGTATGCACCATGTATTGTGAAATTGTAGACTAGCCCCAGCCACCCTTATTGAAATTTTAGGGCTTACCCTCCGGCCCGATCTTCTCTAACTCCGTGGTATTTGTCGAACAAGCAATAATGCCGATGTGAAATGAAACAAAATGCCTTTACAGGTCGTAAAAAGCAGGATTACGGTTAAAAAATAATAAACATTTCCCTAATGTGCAGGTGCAGCAACAAGTGGTTGCGTACTTGCTTGGACTTCTGAATTTATCCTGATATTGTCGTCCTCCTGTTCACCCCGCCAGGTCTGCGTTGCTGCATCTTGCACTTGAACCCCAGCGCTCGATCCGTGAACACTCGCCTCCCGAATGGTGGATTCGGAAGAGACGTGTGACAAGAGCTGGATGTCACTTGCCATCTCCAAATCATTCGACGACGAGGATGCTGACGATGAAGAGGCAGATAAGGCGGTCGCCTCTGCTCCGGGTGTTTTCTTCGGGGTTCGAGCGATGCGCTTGCAGACAGGACAGAAGGGCTGCCGGGTTGTCAGCCACTCGTCCACACACTCACTGTGGAACTCTGCAGTGGGAAATATATGGGTGGAGCCCAGAAAACGAGTAATGAGAAATCATTACGTGATTAATGAGAGGCTCATGTAGAGGAAAAATACCATGGGACCAGTAGGAAGAAAAGCTAAGGGGAAGCAAGGAGAGTCAAATGTGGAGTACGTTATCGGCTGGTAAACCATGGTACCTGATCTCCCGCTTCTTACCAAGCAATGCATTTCTTTCCACCTCCTCGTCTTACCCACGCATAACATGACTGCATGGCAGCACCTCAGCCGGACCCAACACCCGTACTCCTCAACACTCACAGCCACCCCGGCAAATAGCACACGTCCCCCACATGCATCTGGCGATTATCACCTCTATTGATTGAACCAACACTCACGCCCCGTGTCTTACCATGACTGCATGGCAGGACTCTCAGCCGGTCGCCACACTCATAGTCCTCCAGGCAGATCGCACACGTTTCCCACGTGCTTCTGTAAATAACCTCCTCCTCCCCATCCTCCTCCTCCTCTCCCTCCTCCGCACCGCGAAAAGACACTCTGCTTCGCACACTGCTTTGCCGACTCAGCTCCACACCCCGAAAGCCACACAGCTCTACGTCCCCCCGTTGGATATGGTCACACGAGGGCCTCCGCCCTTCACTCACTATAACAACATCCGCCTGATGCTTCCCCTTGAGTTTCTCCTGACTGCTCCCCAGCTCGTTACAGTCACTCTCTGTACTCCCCTCAGCTTTTTCAGCCCCTTCCTTCCTGTCAGCCCTTCACTCTTATCCCCCTTGCTGCTGCTGCTGCCATCCTTCTTTTCAGCCTCTGCCCGTTTGAGACTCGGCAAACCCAGAAAAGTTTTCTCGGGCAGCGCCATAACCTCCTCCAGAGTCATTTTATCCGGCGAGACGGTCAGCTGAATGGGCAGAAAATCCGGATTCACCCCCGCAGCCGCCGCCGCTCCCGCCACCGCATTCCTAATCCTATACCGGCACACGCAGAGAAACGCGAGGAGCATTATGCCGATAGCTAGGAGGGAGGAGATCCAGATGATAAAGGACCAGGAGTAGGCCGAGGTGGTGTAGTAGGGCTGCGCGGGGTAGAGGATGGCTATGGTTTCGGGGTATGGCTGGATGACCGAGAGAACGGTGGTCGCGTCTTCGAGAGAGATGAAGGCGGAGGGTATCATGATGCCCATGCGCTGATTCTCTGTCACTGAGGGAGACGGAGGGGAGGGGGGAAGGGGAGGGGCGTTGAGGGTGGGGAGGATGAGGGGGGAGGGGGGACGTGTTAGAGTTTGGCAGAGAAAATGGTGGACGCGTCTTCGAGAGAGATGAATGCGGAGAAGGGCGAACTGGGGCAATGCGGGAACGGGGACATGGCGCAATGAGGGATTTCGGGAAACTGGGAAAAGGACGAACTGGGACAATGGACGGCAAGGGGGAAACGCAGAGGATGCGAGAGGTTTGCTAGTGAAGGTGAAGGAACAAGCAACGCAAGTTATTGTACACTTCAGGGCAAGCAGCGCAACGCAAGCTAGTGAGGTGTGAACAGCGATCACTTACTTATAGCGAGGTCTTGGTTGGATTCGTTATTGTACACGACCGCAGCGGCGTACCCCGCGAATTGCGCATTCTGCACCTTCCGCCCGAACGAGCAGTCTCCGCGCGCAATCAGCGCGAACTGGACGGTGCCGGGCGGCACGCGGTTTTGAATTGGCTGGCATGCGTTGGCGGGTACCGTCGGATACAGCCGTCCCCAGAAGCCGCTGAACGGGATGACGGGGCCTGGAGAGGGAAACGAGGGAGTAAGGAGGAGTGAGAGGGAGTGAGAGCAGCAGAATGGACGGATTAGGCATGGTGATCACCAAGCAGCCAGCCTTCTCTTGCTCTCGGCGGATGGAGAAGAGGCTTACCCAAGAAGGAGCCAACCCCCTCTTGCTCCTTCCTCTTACCGAAGGAGTCAGAATTGGCGGAGAGGAAGGAGTAGCCGCGCGGCTGGGCCGACTCGAGGCATTGGGAAGCCGCCATTAGACGGAATAAGTGTTCTTGAGCTAATATCATGTTCTCTTGAGGCGGATGGGGAAGAGCTTAACGAAGTTGGAATCGGCGGAGAGGAACGAGTAGCTGAGCTGCTGCGGCGACTTGAGGCGTCGGGAAGCCACATTTGTACCCCGTAGCTGCTGGCGAGCTAACCTAAGACCTTGTTGTCTGGGGGCGCATGGGGAAGAGGAAGAGCTTACCGTAGTCGGCGTCGGCGGAGGCGAAGGAGTAGCCGAGCTGCTGCGGCGACTCGAGGCTTTGAAAAGCCACTATAAGCCGGACTCACTGCACATGAGGTGACCTAGGGCCATGTGGTCTAGCAGCGCATGGGGAAGAGGGAGAGCTTACCGAAGTCCGCGTCGGTGGAGGCGAAGGAGTAGCCGAGCTGCTGCGGCGACTCGGGGAGTCGGGAAGCCATTATGATACGCCGTAGCTGCTGGCGAGCTAACCTAAGACCTTATTGTCTGGGGGCGGATGGAGAAGAGCTTACCGAAGTCGGCATCGGTGGACGCGAAGGAGTAGCTGAGCTGCTGCGGTGACTTGAGACGCAGGAGACCGGCAGCGACGGGCGCATGGGGGAGCAGCGCGACGAGCAGCAGCAGCAGGGGGAGGGGGAAGGGGAGACTGCGGAGGCCGCTTGGGAGATTGCGCAGGCCGCGGGAATGGCATCGGGGAAGAGGCGGAGGAAGGGGGATGGCGGAGCTGGGGCGCGCGAGACGGGGGATCGAGTGGCGGAGGGTCGGCATTGCGGCTCCGCTGCTGCCGGCTGGGTGGCTGTAACAGGCGACGAGGCTACTTCTGAGGCGCTTCGAGGATTGAGCGGAAGGTTGCCGCAGCTAGCGACGAGGCGAAGAAGATACGACGGCGACGATGAATAAGGACGAGCGTAACGCAGGATGTCTAGTGCTGTAACGATATCGGTGCGTGTAGTAACGAGGTGCTGCGACCCACCCACTACAAGCTTGTTTCGCACTGGCTTGTATTGGAGTAACCGTCCAAAGGCTAACAAGCCCTCGAGCAACGCCTTCCAAATGCTATGTCCACGGCGGGCCTGTGAATTACGAGAATCCGAAAGTACAATGCTCTTAGTCGCTTTGGCAATGGCGGCTTGAGTGATTGCGCCCGAACGATAGGCAGCAGGAGTTGACAGGAGTCGACGACTGTCTCGGGCTGCGCCGTCCCAGTCACGCTCCCTCGAGGAACTGCCGTCGGGAATACTCACGGACCACGGTTACTGGGAACCTTTGGGAAAGGCAATGATGGAAATAAGAGAGACTAGGAATGATCCCTGCTTCACCTGCTACAGCTGGGGTGGGTCGTGCAGGGAGGAGGGGGGAGAACCAACTGGAGTGGTGGTGCAGTGCAGGGCACTGGTGGTGTGGTGGTTTGGTGATGTTGATGTGCTTGGTTGCTCCCAAACCGAATTCCAACCAATGATGTGTTGCATCATGCCTAGACACATGCCGAGCAGATACACCGTACAGTGTATTGTATTATTCTACAGTATTTGTGAGGGCTTGTCGCGTCGCAGCAGTGAAGGAAGGGACGAGCAAGGAGCGTCTTCTTCGTCACCGTCCGTGTTGTGCGGCCTAGCGCGATTTACGCGTCGCGTCGCGTCCATCGCACCGAATCACAGGTTTCGTGAATGGGGGCATCGTCATTCTCCCAAGGTGGGCCTGTCGTCGTCGCCCAACCAGTTGTGGAAACCGGCGAAAAAAACAGGTTTGGTGGACCTCAAGTCCATTAGGTTCGGTAACGAAGAAGCCAATCAGGTAGATGCAACATGCGGTTCGCTGGCTTGGCACCAAGGGGCACCTGCCTCTGACATGCGCAACAATCGTATCAGAGATAATAGCTGAAGTTGGTGAGATTAGAGCCACCTATAAGATGAGCTCACATAAATAAAAGATGACCTCACTTGGAATATATTGAAACAAACTTTAACAACCCCTTACGTACACATAACTGCTAGGTGGGGTTGTTCAGGAGATAATATACGTGACTAGTGCATGAGACCACATAATGGGAAAAACCTATGTCATAAACTCTTCATCTGCATAACTATTTACACATCTGCATAACTATTTACTCTTCTCCGTAATGATTTCCATCATCTCAATCCTCTTCCTCCTCTTCCAGCTCCGCTTCCTCCGTTTCATTCTCCTCATCCTCCCCTTCATCTCTCTCGCCACACTCCAACTGCTCCCGTTCTCCCCCTTCATCTCCCATTCCCCCACCCTCTCCTTCGCCTCCACCCCCCTCAATGCGTCCCACCCACCCCTCCTCTTCTTCCTCCCCATCTTCCTCCTCATCGTCCTCCTCATTCTCCTCCTCATCCTCATCCTCCTCATCCCATGTACAAACCTCCCATGCCCCACACCCCAGCCTCCTCATCCCCCCACCGCCATCACCACCATCCCTTGAAGCACCAAGAGCAAGTGCCTCTGCACGCTTAGCAGTCAACTCCAGATGCCGCTTCTGCATCTCATATGCTCCCACCAACGCCTTCACCTCCCTCTCGCCCCCCAATGCACCGGCAAGATAATTCAGCCCCGGTCCAATCACTTCCGAATCTCCTGATCCCGGACCTCCACCTCCCTTCCCCAAACCTTTTCCCCGTCCTCCCCCCCTCCCTTTTCCAACGGCCTTTCCTCCCCTTCCTACTCCTCGTCCTACTCCTCCTGTTCCCCCACCCTTTACATTCCCTCTCCCTCCACCTCGCCCCCCCTTTCTTGACTGACTGCCGCCTGTACGAGTAAATCATCACAACAATAAAGAGGAATACACTAGTGGGGATCAGAACGAAGGTGAGAAAAATAGGAAGATTCGGAACACCGGCTTTCAGAGTGCAGAAGATCGGGATACAGTGTGGAAGGAGTAATGATAAAAGAAGGTGAGATAAATAGGAAGATACGATATTTGTTTGTGCGGCTGTGCTTTTTTTTTGAAAGGCAGAAAACACAATTTGACTCTGAAGTCAAAAACGAAAAAGAACACTCCTTTTACAAAGCAAAAACACTACTCACCTGTTTTGTGCAGCCGTGGCAGGCTGCTGCTCTGCTTTTCCCGAATGATGCGGTCCACATACGTGGAGTACTGCAGAGGGGGGTTAAGGGTTTAATGGGTTTTGGGTTCAGGAATAGAAGAGTCACTGCTGTGGTGTTCTGCAGAGGGGATAAACATTTGGGATTGGTGGATTGAAGAATCAAATTCAGGGTCAGGGGGAAGTGGATCCAAGGGAAGGGCGTGTTTGGACATTCAAGCCATCTTTACCTTACCACACCCCGCCTCTCTCCCACCTCTCCCCGCGCACAAACCCCTGCCTTACCCCCGCTCCCCCTCAAAGTCCCCCAATATCCCACCTTTTGTTTTAAACCATCCGGACTCTCCCCCCGCCTCCCCTCAATGTCCCCCAATATCCCACCTTTTGTTTTAAACCATCCGGACTCTCCCCCCGCCTCCCCTCAATGTCCCCCAATATCCCACCTTTTGTTTTAAACCCTCCGGACTCTCCCCCCGCTTCCCCTCAATGTCCCCCAATATCCCACCTTTTGTTTTGAACCATCCGGACTCTCCCCAGCTGAACCTCGTTCTGCGTTCCCCAAAGCAGCAGCGCTAGAAGCAGCAGCAGCAGCAGCAGCAGCAGCAGCAGCAGCAGCAGAAGCAGAGGCGCCAGCAGCAGCAGGAGCGGGGGCAATGGCAGCAGCACCTGCTGCTGCTGCTGCAGGGCTGTACAGCCTCTTGTGAGCAGCAGAGGCCATGGCGAGGGCGAGGCGGGGGGCGACAGCAGACATGGCGCTGATTTGCTCGTCGTGCTGCGTGAAGTCGTCCTTGTGCTGGCACTGCACTGCTTGCACCGCCTGTGAGAGGAGAGGGGGGTGAAGGGGGTGAAGCAGCAGAGAGGGGGGCGACAGCAGACATGGCGCTGATCTGCTCGTCGTGCTGCGTAAAGTCGTCCACTGCACTGCTTGCACCGTCTGTGAGGGAGGGTGGGATGGGGTGGAGAGCGGTGAGGCAACACAGAGGGTGGCGACAGCAGAAATGGCGCTGATTTCCTCATCGTGCTGTGTGAAGTCGTCCTTGTGCTGGCACTGCACTGCTTGCACTGCCTGGGATGAGAGAGGGGGGAATGCGATGGTGGGGACTAGCAGAAGTGAGTGAGGGTACGACAGGGAGGTGCTGATTTCCTCATCATGCTGCGCGAAGTCATCCTTGTGCTGGCACTGCACTGCTACCACTGCCTGTCGTGCGTGAGTTGGATGCAGGGAGAAAGAGGGGCAGTGGTTGAAGGAATGGGAGACGGGAAGTGGGACTGCAGAGACGACGCTGCTCTGCTCGTTGTGCTGCTAGACCGCCTGTTGCGTGTGGCTTTTGAGTCGACTCAAAAGGTGACTTTTGAGGTGGCTTTTGAGTCGACTCAAAAGTCACCTCGGGAAGTGCGACTGCAGAGACGACGCTGCTGTGCTCGCTGTGCTGCTAGACCGCCTGTTGCGTGTGGGACAGCTTTTGAGACGTCTCAAAAGTCTGCTCTGCTCGCTGTGCTGCTAGCACCGCCTGTTGCGTGTGGGACAGCTTTTAAGACGTCTCAAAAGTCTGCTCTGCTCGCTGTGCTGCTAGCACCGCCTGTTGCGTGTGGGACAGCTTTTAAAACGTCTCAAAAGTCTGCTATGCTTGCTGTGCTGCTAGCACCGCCTGTTGCGTGTGGGACGGGGAGATGGGGGAATGGGGGATGGTGGGGACTTCTAGCAGTGAGGGCAAGGCGGAGAGGTGCTGATCTGCCTGTGTTACCTGAAAGGCGCACAGCTGTAATAAGGCATGGCATCCCGTATACCAAGAAGGCTCACACACACCTGGAAGACACACTTGTCTTGCATCCTCCTGTGTGCAGTCACCATCAGTGCCGCCTTCAACTTATGAGTCGACTCAAAAGTCAACACAGGGGGCACCCAGCAAAGGTATGGTATGGCATCCCACACACCTGGAAGACACACTTGTCTTGCATCCTCCTGTGTGCAGCCACCATCAGTGCCGCCTTCAACTTATGAGTCGACTCAAAAGTCAACACAGGGGGCACCCAGCAAAGGTATGGTATGGCATCCCACACACCTGGAAGACACACTTGTCTTGCATCCTCCTGTGTGCAGCCACCATCAGTGCCGCCTTCAAATTATGAGTCGACTCAAACGTCAACACAGGGGGCACCCAGCAAGGGTATGGCACGTCGTCCCACGTACCTGGAACACGCACACACCTGGAAGGCACGCTTGTCTCGCATCCTCCTGTATCCAGGTGCGTTTTGAGTCGAAGGCACGCGTACCTGGAACACACACACACCTGGAAGGCACAGTCGGCTCGCATCCTCCTGTATCCAGGTGCATTCTGAGTCGACTCAAAACACAACCAGCAGGGCCAAGGTATGGTATGCCATGCCAACACACCTCAAGTGCACAGTCGGCTCGCATCCTCCTGTGTGCAGCCACCATAAGCGCCACCTTCAACTTATGGGTTGGCCCAGGCGGCACACAGCAGGGATAAAGCATGGCATGCCAACATATCAGCAAGGCACACACACCTGGAAGGCACACACACCTGGAAGGCACAGTCGGCTCGCATCCTCCTGTGTGCAGCCACTATCAGCCCAGCCTTTGTTTGAGGAAGCTTCCACCCTTTTTCCGCTCCGCCCGCCCCAATTCCGTCCACCGTCGCAACCTCCCTCCCACCTCCCCTTCCCCTTCCCCTTCCACCCCCCCCAGCCGCGTCCCCTTTCCCCTTTCCCCGACCTGCTCCCCTCCCCCTACCTGCCCCCACAACTGCTTTTTCCTTCCCCTTCCCCACAGCTGCCTTCCCCTTTCCCCCAACCACAATCGCCCCTGCTTCAGCACAATCTCCCAGTCTCCCTCTACTCCTCGCCGCACTGCGGCTCTCCCCCCAACGAATCTCAATCTCACCCATCTCCACCCCTTCCAACCCCACCCCGCCCTCCCCGGCACCATCCACACCTCCCCGAGGCCCAATCCCCACACAAGCAGCAACAAACGCAGCATGGGATGACTCCCCAACCGGCACCCCTCGCTGCTGCTGCTCCTGCCCCTGCTCCTCCTGCTGCCCCTCCTCCTCCCCCCTCCCACCCCCTCCAATCAACCGCCTCTGCCTCTCCCTCCGTCTCGGCGGCGTGGGAAACTGCTCATGATGCCGGTCAAAGCACTCAGTCGCGGTCTTTCCAGGCACCCACAGGGCCACCCGCGCCCAGAACCCCTCTGCATGCGGATTCACTGCACTCATGGCCTCGTGAAACGCTCTCACTTGACCCGCCGTCCACCCCATGTGATCCAGTGCAGGAGCGGCAGCAGGAGCGAAAGCAGGAGCAGAGGCGGGGCTTTCAGGGGGTTCGTCTTGAGAGGGGTGGTTCTGCCCGCGGTGGTTCTGATCCTGATTAGGCCGGTTCCTAGCGGCGTGTGACGGTGAAGCCATAGGGTTACCAGCAGCGGCAGCGGCAGCCGCAGTGGCAGAAGCAGAGGCAGAGGTTGAAGCAGAGAAGCGATTGCGAGTAGATTCGGAGATGTTGACAGAGGGAGGAGGGGAGGGTGGGGGGGGCGCTGGGACCAGGGCAAGGCATTGGGGGTCGTGGGATGGGGATGGCGGATTGTCATTGTGGGGTGGGGATGAGGGATTGTGGGGTGAAGATGGCGGAACAGCGGATGGGGATGGGGACATATGACAATCATCCTTCCCCTTCCCCACCTCCTTCCCCTTCCCTTCCCCCTTCCCCTTCCCTTCCCCCTTCCCCTTCCCCAGCCACTTCCCCTTCCCCCCACCTTTCCCCACTTCCCCACTATCCCCTCGAGCAATCCTAGCCATCGATCTGGTCACTCTAACACTCCTCCTTTCCATTTCCTGTACCTCCTCTCTTTTCCTCTTGAGACCACTTTCTTTCCCCATCGCTTTCCCCTTCGCCTTCCCCTTCGCCTTCCCCTTCGCCTTCCCCTTCGCTTCCCCATTCCCTTTTCCCATGCTTTCCCCCTCTTCTTGCTGTCTCGCCCCTCCCCCACTCCCATCCAATCCGTCACCCCCCCCTCCAACCCTCTCCACTCTCCCTTCCTCCGCATTCTCCACCACTCTTCCCTTCTCCGCACCCACATCCACTCTCCCCTTCTGCCCTGTTCTCGAGGTTCGGAATATCCGAGCCAGAGCAGCAGCCTTGGCAGCCCTACCAGGCACAGTTCTTCCTCCCGCCACTGTCCCATCAACGGTTCTCCCAGCTCCCTTCAACACACTCGCTAAAGTCACACTTGTTACAGCATCCTTATCTGTAGCCCCCATTACAGGAGCTTCCGCAACTTCTTTCTCCCTTCCATCCTCCCCGTTCCCTTCCACTTTTCCCTCCCCTCCACCCTCCCCTCTTCCCTCCTCTTCCCCCTCCCCTCCACCCTCCCCTCTTCCCTCCTCTTCTCCCTCCCCTCCACCCTCCCCTCTTCCCTCCTCTTCTCCCTCCCCTTCACCCTCCCCTCTTTCCTCCTCTTCACCCTCTCCTCCAACTCCTCCATCTCCATCCCCCTTCCCTCCACCCTCCACTCCCTCCTCTCCTACCACCTCTCTTCCCTCCTCTCTCCTCTCCTCAGCTCCCTCCATCACCACCTCTCCACCCATATCTCCCTCCCCATTTCCTCCGTCCTCCCTTCCACCCCCTCCTCCCTCCTCCGCCACCGCCTCTCTCCCCCCATCCGCCTCCCCAGTCAAATCAATCATATCCTCTTTATCCTGCCCGCCTTCCCCACACTCTCCCCTCCGCCTAGGAGACTTTCGAGTTGCTTCAGTAGCCACCACTCTCCCCGCCCCTGCCTTTCTAGGAGAATTAACCAAACCGTCCGCTTCAACCCCAACTTGGGCACACCTCCCCCTCCCTCTAGGCGACTTCAGAGCCGATTCAACAGCCACAGCTCTCCCCAGACTCTCCACCTCAACCCCCCCTTCCCCTTGAGCACTCCTCCCCCTCCCTCTAGGCGACTTCCGGGCCGATTCAGCAGCCACTGCTCTCTCCACACCTGTCACTCCAGCCGAAGCAGACACACCCGCTGTCTCAACCCCCCCCCGACCCCCCCTTCCCTTCCCCCTAGGCGACATTAAGGCCAATTCAGCAGCCACAACTCTCCCCACACCTGTCCTTCCAGCCGTAGCACCCAGATCATCCGCCTCATCCCCCCCTCGCCCAGAACCCCTCCTCCCCCTAGGCGACTTTAGGGCCGATTCAGTACCCACTGCTCTCCCCACACCTGTCCTTCCAGCCGTAGCACCCACATCCTCCACCTCAACCCCTGCTTGCCCGCAACCCTTCCTCCCCCTAGGCGACTTCTGGGCCGATTCAGTAGCCACTGCTCTCCCCCCATGTGCCTCTCCACCCGTAGCACCCACATCCTCCGCCTCAACCCCCACTTCCCCTTGTGCACACCTCCCCCTCCCCCTAGGCGACTTCCGGGCCGGTTCAGAAGCCACTGCTCTCCCCACGTCTGTCCTTCCAGCCGTAGCACCCAGATCCTCCGCCTCAACAACAACTTCTTCTTGTCCTTTCCGCCTCCTCTTGCTCTTCCGCTTCTCACCCACCTCCCTTGCTCCATCCCTCTCTGCGTCATTCCCTTCCCCTCCCTCGAGCACTTCCCCCCCTCCCTGCTCCTCCCTTCTCTCCTGCTCTTCCCCACCGGCTGTTAGACCCTCAAACAAGGCTGCAGAGTCGAGCGAGAGACAGTGTGGGTGGCAGTGCCATGGACATATCAAAACACGAGAATTCAGAAGACTTAGAGTTGGATAGCCTTAGGAGAGATAGACAATATTAGAATCACGAAGAAAAAGCTGCAGAATCAGACAGGTAAAACAGCTTGAACCACACACCTCGTAACCTGAAATGTGGTAACCATACACATGGTAACCCGCTTACCTTTCTTGATAATCTTCAGTTCCTCTGCACGCGTCGTTGGCTGCAGCCCTAGCAGTATACAAGGTCGGTCCACATCCTGTGACCAAAGCACCATCAAGTAATGCACAAAGAAAAGCAGCATGCAAAGAGAGGAATATAAAAAAAAGAGAATAAAAAAAAGAGAATAAGTAAAGGGAGAAAAATCCATCTCTAGACTCCCTTGAAGCGAGAGATGAACACTCACTGAACACTCACCACAGGGAGGGGTGACCACTCACCACAGGGAGGGCTGAACACTCACCACAGGGAGGGCTGAACACTCACCACAGGGAGGCCCACAGGGAGGGCTGAACACTCACCACAGGGAGGGCTGAACACTCACCACAGGGAGGGCTGAACACTCACCACAGGGAGGGCTGAACACTCACCACAGGGAGGGCTGAACACTCACCACAGGGAGGGCTGAACACTCACCACAGGGCGGAAAATCCTCTCGTCCTTCCAGGAGGCCAGAAGAGGGAAGCGCGAGCGAACTATGAGCTCTATTTCTGAGGCGCCAAAGAAAAAAAAAAAACACTGATTCCGGGTTGACGACTCACCACAGGGCTGAAAATCCTCTCGTGCTTCCAGTAGGCCAGTGGGCGGACGAGCGGTCGACCTATGAGCTCTATTTCTGAGGCGCCAAGGAAAAAAAACACACTTATTCCTCTCGTGAGTAGTTCACGACTCACCACAGGGCTGAAAATCCTCTCGTGCTTCCAGTAGGCCAGAAGAGGGAAGCGCGGGCGACCTGCGGGCAGAAGGAATGCATAGCAAACAGGTGGGGACACGGGGTTGGGAGGGAGCAGGGGCACGGGGATTTGGGGGCAGCAGAACAAAGGGAAGGTTTGAGGCGCCGCAGAACGGGGATGGGGAAGGATGAAGAGTGAGGGAATGAGGGAGTGCGGGAATGAGAGAACAAGGGAAAGTTGGGGCGTGTATAGGGGGACAGGAAACACGTGAGGGACGGAGGGAAGCATCACTATGAAGCAAAATCGCACCGCTCTATGTCACACTAGCCTACCCCCAAACGCCAAAACATAGATTGAGAGTTTTTGAGGCGGCTTAACACGGGCTTAACCCTAAATAGAAATGTGCTTTGGCAGGGGAGCAGGGGGCCGCGAGATAGAGTGTAAGGAAAGGGATGGAAAGGGATGGAAAGAGATTGAGGAGGATGACAGGAAGGAGAACGAGGGGGTGTTGGTGGGGAGGAGAATGCAGGGGTTGGTGAGGGTGCTGGGGTTGGTGGAAAGGAGAGTTGGAGGGGATTCGCACCACTCCGGGAGTACTCCACATTGACAATGCGAGAGCCATCGGTGTGGGGTCTGGGAGACGTGACGTGAGAGGCACCGGCACCCCTCCCAGCAGGGGATTTCAAGTGAGAAGCCGCACGGCCGGGTTTCAGAGAGTGTAACACGTTCTTGCGGCTTCGGTTGGAAGTTTGGTGCGATAGCAGGTGGGGAGGCTGGCGGGAAGGTGGGTGGGACGGTCGGTGGGGGGCGGTGGCAGGAGGAGGAGGGGGAGGAGTGGAGCAGCGACGACGTGAGGAAGCACGAGGAGGTGTGGCAGGTAGAGGCGAGGTGGAAGGAGCAGCAACACTGGGGGATGGTGCATTGGCCGTGTTGGTAGCGTTGGTAGCATTGGCAGCGGTGGTAGCACCAGCAGTAGTGGAGCGTTGGTGGCGCGAGGAGGCACGGGGAGGTGTGGCAGGTAGAGGCGAGGTGGAAGGAGCAGCAACACTGGGGGATGGTGCATTGGCCGTGTTGGTAGCGTTGGTAGCATTGGCAGCGGTGGTAGCACCAGCAGTAGTGGAGCGTTGGTGACGCGAGGAGGCACGGGGAGGTGTGGCAGGTAGTGGCGAGGTGGAAGGAGCTGGCACGCTGGGGGATGGTGCATTGGCTGTGTTGGTAGCGTTGGTAGCGTTGGCAGCAGTGGTAGCACCGGCAGCAGTGGAGCGTTGGTGACGTGAGGAAGCAGGGGGAGGTGTTGCGGGTAGTGGCGAGTCGGGAGTAGCATTCGCACTAAGGGATGGTGCATTGGTCGCATTGGCAGCAGTGGCACCAGTGATGTCACCAGCAGCAGTGGCGGCAGTGGCAGCACTGGCAGCATTGGCAGACCGTGTGACATTATCAGGCGAAGCCACATCAATGGGACTGCCAAATGCAGCAGCAGCAGTTGCTGCTGCTGCAGATCCAGTCCCTGTACTCACTTCTCTCACTGCCCTTAGTGCTCTCACTGCCCTCACTACACCCACTGCTCCCACTTCCCCCCTCACTGTTTCCTCTGCTCCCACTGCTCTCCCAGCTGTGACTGACGCCCAAGCAGCCTCACGCGGAGAACTATTCAACGGAGACTCATCCCATGCGTCCACGCCTCTACATGCTCCGTCCTCCTCGTCTGCCAACCCCCCACCCGCGCTCTCCGCTTCTTCCACCCTCGCATCTGCCCGCTTCCGCTTCCTTCCTTCCCGCACAGTCCCACCACACGGCCTAAGCCTTCCCTTCTGAGAACCCTCAGAAAAGGCCCCAACACACGGCCTAAGCCTTTCCTTCTGAGGCGCGTCAGGAAAAGCCCCACCACATGGCCTACCCTGCTCTACCTCCACCCCATGCCCCACCATGGGCACCCCATGCTCCATCAGAGGCACCTGCACCAGAGGCACCTCCACCAGAGGCACCTCCACCAGAGGCACCTCCACCAGAGGCACCTCCACCAGAGGCACCTCCACCACATCAGGACTCGCACTACCAGACGGATCAGCCTCTTCCTCCCCGCGCCCTGCGCCCCTCACCCCTCCTCTGCGCCCCTTCTGTAAAGGCGTCTTTATAAGCTCAGCAGTCACCCCATTTGCCTGGCCAACCCCTTCCTTCCTCTTCCCTCCGTCCCTCACCCCTCTCTGCCCCTTCCTCAGACGTGTCTTCATAAACTCAGGAGTAACCCCACTTGCCTGGCCAGCTCCTTCCTTCCTATTCCCTCCGCCCCTCACCCCTCCGTCCCTCACCCCTCCGTCCCTCACCCCTCTCTGCCCCTTCCTCAAACGCGTCTTCATAAACTCAGGAGTCACACCACTTGCCTGGCCAACCCCTTCCATCCTCTGCCCTCCGCCCCTCACCCCTCCTCTCTGCCCCTTTCTCAAACGCATTTTCATAAACTCAGGAGTCGCCCCTGCTTGCGGCCCTGCTTGCGCCCCTGATTTCGCCCCTGCTTGCGGCCCTGCTTTCGCCCCTCCTTTCGCCCCTCCTTTCGCCCCTGCTTTCGCCCCTGTGTTTGCACCGGCCTTACCCCCTCGTTCTAAGCTCTGTCGTTTCACCCACAAGACATCTCGAGCCTTAGCCTTGCCTCTCCTCTCCGCCCTCTCCGCCCTCTCCGCCCTCTCCGCCCTGTCCCCCCTCTTCGCACTCTCCCTCCTCTCCTTCCTCAATTTCGCTGCTGCTCCAGCTGTCGCCGCAGCCCTCCCTTTATCCAACGCATCCCCTATAACCTGTAACGGAGCCCTTCCAGACGAGCCAGCAGCACCACCCCCCCCGGCCTTACCTCCTCCTGCTGCTCGTGTTACGGCCACAGCTCCTGGCGCTGCTCCTGCGGCTGCTCCTGCCGCTGCGCCTGACTTTCCTCTTGCCGTTGCTCCTAGAGCTGCTCCTGCATCTCGAACCCTCGCTGCATCTGACGCTGCTGCAGCAGCCACTACTTGCCCTTTCTCTCCCTTACCCTTGCGTCCCTTCTTACCTGCTGCTACAGCAGGCCTTAACACTACCCCCTTGCTTCCATTCTCTTCCCCACTCCCTTCCCCACTCCCTTCCCCACTCCCTTTCCCACTACCTTTCCCCTTTCCCCTCCCAATCCCTGTCTCTTTCCCGGTCCCTTGTCCTTTCGCTGTCCCTGTTCCTGTCCCTTCCCCTGCCCCTTCACCCGTTCCCCTCCCATTCCCTTTTCCAATCCCTTCCCCGTTCCCTTTCCCTATCCCTCTCCCTCTCCCTCTCCCTTTCCCTTTCCTCGGCGTTGCAGCTTCTTTCAAGGCAGCAGCGGCGGCCACAGCAGCAGGTCTCCGCCTCCCTCTAGGCGGGCTCCATTTAACCAGCGCCCGCCGGAAGCTCAGTTGCCTCACCACTGCCAACCGCGCCTGACCCCTCGTTCGCACTTCTTTCTTCGTCGACCGTCCGCCCGTGCGTTGCTTTTCCTCCTCCTTCCCCTGGAACGTCCCACCCGCCTGCGATTCCGCTACCCCCGACCGCCCCTGCTCGTTGCCCGTGCTTCCACTCCCTTCTCCCATGCCCCTCCTAGCTGAACCTCCCGCGCCCTTCCCAGTTCTCCTTCTCCCCTGCCCCACCCTACCCCTCCCCACCGACTTGCGCCCCCCTCGCTTCTTCCCTTCCCTCCCTTCCCCTTCCCCTTCCCCTTCCCCTCGTGCGCCATTTCCGCCAACCGCTGCACCATCCGCTGCTCTACTTCCCGAACTACCATCCGCGCCTTCCCCTGCGCTCCCCGCGCGGCCATCCTCCGCGCTATCGCCCCCCCGGTCCCCATCCCGCGCGCCTACCAGCGCCGATTCCCCAAACCACCCGTCGGGAGTCCGGGGCCCTTCCGCCCCGCGCAAACCCTCCGCGCTTTCCCCCGCGCCGTCCGCTCCGCCGCGGGCCCCGCGCGGGGCGGAGGCGCCCCTTCCGCCCGCTTCCACGGGATGCCAGCCGACAAACGCGCCTACTGCAGCCACGCCCGCGTGCATGCTCTCCTCTACCTCCTCCTCCGTTATATCCATACTCACCGCATCGTCCTCTACTTCTACGCGCAACTCATCCCCTTCAATTTCCACATCAACCTCTTCCTCCTCCTCTTCTTCATCCACCTCCTCATCCTCCTCGTTCTCTTCCTCCTCTGCACTCAACTCGTTCTCTCCAATCTCCACAACCACCACCTCCTCCGCCGCATCGCCTGCATCTTCTGCAATTTCCGCGTCCTCCATAAATTTCCCACCCAGATTTACCTCGTCGTCCGTCTCTACCTCTACCCGCTCGTTTCTAGCCTCTTCGTTACAAGCATCAACAACGGAAACTCCCGCACGAACGCGCTGCTGCACCTCGTCGTCTACCCCGTTCGCATCATCCGCGTCTCCTTCCCCCGCTATAATACGTTCAGCGTAACCCGTTACGAAGCCGTCGGACTGCGCTGAAAAATAACTATCCTCTAATAAATCGCTAGCAGCTACGCCGCGCGTTTCAGACGGCGAGCGACGCGGTTCAGGATCGGTACGAACATTTTCGGATTCCGTACCGTGCCGCGTTTGCGGTTCTAAACCGTCAATTTCAGCCGCATCTCTACCTGGTGCGCCGGCCGGAGACGAGCCTGCCGATACCACAGGTGCTCGGATCCTATGTGAAGAATCTCCTACTTTTTTGCTCCTACTAGTAGGCTGGTTAGTCTCTATTCTGGTCTGGTCAGATTTCCCACGCGCAACGAGGTTACCCATTTTGCTAACACCGGCCGTGCGATCATCTTCACCAGTAGAAGATATAGAGATCCTGCGTGTGCCTGTGCAAGGTAAAATTCCATCGAGATTCGAACCAGCGACATTTTTACCTGAAGAGTACACACCCGTGTCTGTTCTGGGTGCCGAATTTCCGAGAAGGCTATCCTCATCGCTTCGACTTATCCGTTCGCCACGTGGCGTCATCTCTGGCGATCGTTTTCTCGAGGCAAGACCTTCAGAAGAGGCTAGATATGCGTCCCACCCTCGCTTTCCCGAGCGCTTCAGGCAGGCTCCTGTTTCAGCGACAGTCCAACAGGCCAAAAGTATTGGCTTACTTTACTACTAGAAAAACGGAACTCTCGTAACCTTGTTACTGACGATAAGGCGCGATGGCGATTTCATCGAACTTCTGCGAGGCATCTAGCGATCAGGCTGGCGACGGTAGCCTGTGTGCGGTGCGACAATATCGAGAATACGACGACAGATCACAAAGTGACACGTTGCAACTGGAGGAATATCCTAAAACAACCTACGGCAACGAAGCTACTACTGGAAACTAGAAAGGCAAGCGGTGAGAAACAGGTCAAATAAGGACGGAGAGGAGAGGTTGCTGCGTTTGCTGTTGCACGTTCGTGTTCGCTGGCTTTGAGCGGAGAGACCAACGCAACGATGACATGACATGACAATGGATTGATTGAAGGAGACTCCTGTGATTGGACGAACAGTCTCAAGGTTCTGAATTTGGCGGGAAGTCTGACATTTCTGAAATCGTGGGGCCCGTCCCGCCAATTTGTCCATCAGCCGGTCGCGGTTCAATGTGTTTCTACACGGTTACAGAAGATAAATTGTTTTACCGCTATGGACCACGAAGAACCAAACAAAACCGAGAGAATCGAACCAGGAGGAGGACATCCCCCAGATGTGTGTACTCGCTGTTTTATAGAACCCGTTCACGCATTGTATCATGAAGAATGTGCCTCGTAGAGGACATTGGAAATGCCTATGTGCTGGGGAAATTTAATCTCTAATGGTGCAATTGCAACCACCAATGTTTCCTTCAAAGTTAATCTGTTATTATAATATCGTAATGGCTGTCCTCACGGTGATTGGAATGATTCGTATTGTGTGATGTTATGAATGAAGTCTCAATATGGTGTGGTCTGACAATCTCGTTATACCGCGTACAAACTGCGAAACGACACTTCCACCGATAATGCTGCCTAATGTGTCCCTTCGCACGGTAACAACCAGAAGCGAAATCACAAATTCCACCTGATGCGGCATGTAAGAAATTTTCCGGATTCCTTACTGGGTCACACTGTACGCGTACAACCCCGGTTTTCGGAAAACCAGGCTCGGTCCGCCGACCTCGCCTTCCGAGCCACCACCGCGTCGCCTTCGGGTTTCCCAACCCCGAACCTGCACCCAACCATCTCGCGACCCCGCGACCTCGGCCTAGCTAGCTTCGCTATATTAGCCCTAGGCCTCGTTGTGTTCTAAGACGTTGTAATCACTTCCGCATTATTGAGTTCTGCGCACTTTTTCCTTTCACAACTCATAACACTTGGTATCAGAGCTACTTTCCTAGGTTACCCTCGCGTTTCCGGGGTAGTTTGTAGAAGGGGAGCGATAGACTTGGTGTGCTGTAAAGCGGTCGGCCCGTGGAATAGATCCGATTATTCCACTCCGACTACGATAGCATTTACGCCTTCACCGAAGTCAGAAAAATCGCGAGCCAACCCCTGCCCGTTCGGCGAAGCCTGAGGCACATGGAACAGGCTGAGTTTAACGAGTTCATGCAACAGTTCCGTGCGATGCAGGCCAACTTGCAGGGTATGACTGCAGAGATGGAGCGTCTACGGAAGGAAAACGCCGAACTACACCAGGCGCGTGGTGAAGCGCGCCAGGAGTCGCCTGTCGTGGACGACGCAAGTAGCAGCACTGCACCAGATGAGCGGGTCTGGAGCGAGCTGGAAGGCGAGATAGATGCGGACGAGGCAAGGCAGGCGCAACAGCAGCAGTCACCGCAACAGTCGCATGCAGCCCCGACACGTGCAGCAGCGACGACGACGGCGACGCCAACAGCGATGCCAACGGTCCCAGTGGCAGCAACGGCTTTGACAACTGTTAAAATCAAGCCGACAAACCCGCCCCCGTTTAACCCAAGTGACAAAATTCGTCATTGTTTTTGCATGGTTGTTCGGCGTGGAAGTGTTTTTCAATGCTGCTATGATTTATGACGATGCCACCCGCATTAACTTCGCAGTTTCACTGTTGCGAGGACCTGCACTGGAGTGGTGGAGGCGAACGCTGCAGGACGAAGGGACTTCGGCAGGAATAGCACGTGCGAACGACGGGACTTCAACACCTGTCACGCATCGAGCAGCATCGATTTTCGGGACGGCTACGATACGCACATGGAGGGAGTGGGGCGCCGCCTTGCGAACCAGGTTCGAGCACATATCCGCCTCGGACTCAGCTCGCATGAAGCTGCGTGCCTGGAAGCAGCTGACTTCAGTCCAAGACTACACCAGCACATTCTGCAACTTGGCGGACCAGGTGGACGACATGAGCGATGCGGAGCGGTTGGATCGCTACGTGGCGGGTCTGAAATACGAGATACAGTACGAAGTCCGACGAACCCGGCCACGCAGCTTCAACGACGCCGTCCGGGAAGCCGAGTCAACGGATGCGCTGATGCAGTGGGCGAGATCGAGCTCCCGGGAGGGCCCTCGATTTCGTGGATCGACTCAGCAGCCCACGATCAACGGCATGGATGCACCAAGCCAAGCCCTTGGGCCGTGCTTCGTATGCAACCAGCTGGGCCACCTGAAAAAAGACTGCCCGAGGCTTAAGCAGGGGAAGAAGAACGACGGAGAAGGGTCGGGAAAAGATGCGAGTTAGTAGCAGATGGGCCACCTACTGACAAGACCCTGTCGCCCGACAATCACCATCCACACCGGGTCGTGGTACCGATCAGAGCTATCGACCAGAACCGGACGAATAACGTGGGTGAACACGTGGACTACCCTGTGCTGGTGGTAGGGAGGGTTAACGGTTATAACATTAAAATTTTCGTTGACGGTGGGGCGAGCCACAGTCTCGTCAACCTGGCAACGGCCAAAAAAATTGGGGTGAAGCTGACCAGGTGTCTGCCGGAGATCGATGCCAGGTTGGTGGACGGCACACCGCTGGCCATCCGAGATGAGGCGCGAAAAATTCGGATCCACTGTGGCGACAAATTCGGGTTTGGCATGAAGATGTTGGCGACGATGTTGGACGGCTGCGATGTGCTGCTGGGTAGAGATTGGCTGCAGCGCTTCAATCCGACGATCGACTGGACGACTGGGGCGTTCGTTGTGCGAGGATATGGAGGGAAGACGACGCTTCCGAAATGGACGGAACCGGAGCCGGTGACGACACGTGTCAACGCGATCAACATGGCACGAGCGATGAACAGCGGAGCTCAGGCCTTCTTGGTGCACCTGTACGAGGTGGCAGCTTCCGAGAAAATCGCGGACATCGACACCCTCTGCGCAGCAGTACCTGAGGAGTTGGCGAGCATTATTCGGAAGTATCCCGAAATTTTCGCGGATGATCTCCCGGATGGCCTGCCCCCCCAGCGCCCTGAAGATCATCGGATCCAGCTGGAGCCAGGCGCGCAACCTACTGTTCGGACACAGTGGCGGCTCAGCCAACCAGAGCTCGCCGAGTTGCGGAGCCAGCTGGATTACCAACTCGCCAAAGGATTTATTGTCAAACTTATATGCGATAGTCTGTGTAGGCTGTAGTGGGGTAGACAATATGGGGTACAACACTTTTAGGTTTTCCTACTTGTACCCACCTGTTTCCCAGTGCATTCACTTCCTCGTTCTTTCACATGGTATAGAGCAGGTTGTCAAACTTATATGCTATAGTCTGTGTAGGCTGTAGTGTGGTAGACTACATGGGGTACAACATTACTAGGTTTTCCCACTTGTACCCACCTGCTTGCTAGTTCATTCATTCCTCATTCTTCACATGGTATAGAGCAGGTTCCCTCGTGGGAACGCTTCTCAGGGCCCACCACCTAACTCGATCTTTTTTTTCCTGCCCGAGGCGTGCCCCGTAGGCCGCCCTCACGTCGCGCCCTCCTAGAGGCCCCTTGCGCCACCCTTAGCGGCCCCGTCGCCGTCCTTAGCGACCCCGTCGCCGCCCCTCTAGGCCCCTCGCGGCCCCTTCACGGCCCCGCCGCCGCCGCTCTAGGCCCCGTCGCCGCCGCTCTAGGCCCCTCGCGGCCCCTTCACGGCCCCGTCGCCGCCGCTCTAGGCCCCGTCGCCGCCCCTATAGGCCCCTCGCGGCCCCTTCACGGCCCCGTCGCCGCTCCTAGCGGCCCCGTCGCCGCCCCTCCAGGCCCCTCGCGGCCCCTTCGCGGCCCCGTCGCCGCCACTTACGGCCCCGTCGCCGCCCCCTCTAGGCCCCTTACGGCCCCTTCGCGGCCTCGTCGCCGCCCCTCT